TCTCTCTCTCTCTGTGCTCTGTGTGTGTCTTAAGGTGTAAAAGTGAGTGTATGCTCGTCGCTCTGGCTCTCTCTCTGCTGTGCGTCTGGCTCTCGTTCGGTCGGGTGGCAGCCAGTGTGCTGGGGCTGCGGATGTTGATGTTCCTGTTCCGCCTGTGGGTGCCGTGGTGAAGTGAGCATTCATGGATGTCGTTCCTCAATGATTCGCGCGCGTTTGTGTGGGTGTGTGGGGGGAAGAACATCGTTGTTGTCGTTGCACTTCTGATGGGTTACACCCGCTCGAGGTTCATCTGATGCTGACTGAGTCCAATCTGTTTGGGGGCGTCTCATGGCCTCGCCGGTCCCCCTCTGTCTTTGCGCTTTGGGTTGCGACTGGATGAGGCTACATGGGTGCATGTGTGTTTGAAGTTCCTTCATCCCTCCATCTTCTCCACTGGCTGCCTTGAAAAGAGCCTTTGACTGGACATGTTTTGTCGTGTTTTGTGCTCGCTCTGATGAGCCGGTCGCCCAGGGCCGATACTCTGCCAATGCTCGCCAGCCATTTCTCTAATTTCTCTGCTTCTCGGTTCTGGATCGCTCCATCCTCCATGTAGATCATAAACGCAGGCCCGGCCCCGAAGCAACGGAACGTGTCCAAAACGGTCACAGAAAGCTGCGGGGGAGTGTCATCAGCCCAATCCGAGTGCCTGGCTTGCTGGGCTTGTTTTGACGGCTCTTCTCTGCTCCGAGTGCCTCCCACTCTATCCGACCCCACACCGGCGCCATGGCCCACAAAACACAAACGCTCAATACGACAGATCTCAGTCGGTTGAGCGAAGATGATCGCATCGCCGTGATGCAGATGGTCAAGGAGAACGAGCTCTCCGTAGAGGAAGCCATTGCCAAGGTCAAGGGCCAAACCGGCACTGACCGCACCATGACCCTCAGCAAGATTGTGGGTGGCAAATTCGATCGTCGTAAGCGCATGGCCTTTCGTAAGGATCGTGGACGCCTCTACCTCGAGCTGCAGGCCGTCAAGGCCTCGGCGTTCTACGTCCTCGCCTGCACTGTCAAGCAAGGTCGTGACCTCTTGGCCATGAACAAGAACAACACCGCCACACCCTTTGTCAAGGCTTACATCACTCCGGAACTCAAGGACAAGTCGAGCAAGCGCAAAACCCAGCCTCGCAAGAATACGGTCAACCCCATGTACAACGAGCAGTTTAGCTGGGAAATTCGCGCCAACACTGATCTGGATGCCATGAAACTTCACATCGAGGTGTACGAGCATGCCGTGCTCCGGCGTTCGCAGTTCATGGGCTCCATGGCCTTCCCCTTGGCCGAAATCTTTGAGGGCGGCTCTCTCCAGGGTTGGTTCCGCCTGCTCGATCAAACCAAGGGCGACTTTCAGTTTATCCCCTTCAAGCCCAAAGTCAAGAATGAGGCCGCCATGTCTACTCGTCCAAAGTCCAAGGACGTTGTCAAATCCCAACCCGCCAATGCCGAGCCCGACAAACCCCTTGCGCGCCATGCCCCGTGCGTTTGTTTGCCCTGCGCTCCACCCGCGTATACAAAAGAGAGAACCCAGTGACTTCCGCGCGTCATAGCTCACCTCCCGCCTACTTTGTTGCCCTTTTCCAAAAAATCATCCCACATCAGGGCTGCCAGCAAGCCCGTGCCGCCCAGTCCCGCTGCTCCCGCATCACCGGCACCCCCCGTCGATACCCTGGCAGGCAAGCAGAAGGTTCTTAGCAACGTCTCTGCAGGTAGCTTCAAGTTTTTGAAGGTCCTGGGTCAGGGTTCCTTCGGCAAGGTCCTTTTGGCCGAAGAGAAAGCCACCAAGGAGGTTTTTGCTGTCAAGGTGCGTCCTCCTGCCGAGTATATGCAAGCGCGTGTGCCCATCCGTGGCCCCACCTCCGGACTTGTGTTGGGAACACTTGGGACTAACCGGTTTGACAACATGGATGTATTTTAGATTTTGAAAAAGACCGTCGTGGTTGAAGACGATGACGTGGAATGTACCATGATTGAGCGTCGCGTGCTCGAGCTGGCCGGCGGTAGCCCCTTCCTGACCAACCTGGTCGCCACCTTCCAGACCCCCGAGCACCTGTACTTCGTCATGGAGATGGTGACGGGTGGTGATCTCATGTTCCACATTCAGAAGAAGCGCCGCTTTCCCACTGAACTGACCCGCTTCTACACGGGTGAAATCTGCTTGGGCTTGTGGTTCTTGCACAAGAGCGGTGTCTTGTACCGTGATCTCAAGCTCGACAACGTCATGCTGGCTGGCGACGGACACATCAAGATTGCCGATTTTGGCATGTGCAAGGAAAATATGTGGGGTGCAGCCACCACCACCACCTTTTGCGGTACGTCCATCAGACAGTTGGAGGAGCCTGCCACATCTACGAGCTTGCAAGGTCATCGCCCGTGCTTTCCACCGGCGGCTCGGGGCGCTTATCTCATGGCTGTGCATCGCGATGGTTGCGTAGGCACGCCCGGTTATTTGGCTCCTGAAATTATCAAGGAGCTTCCCTACGGTGCTTCCGTGGATTGGTGGTCTTTGGGTGTCCTGATCTTTGAAATGCTCCTGGGCGATTCACCTTTTGAGGGCGAGGATGAGGATGAGCTGTTCAACGAGATTCTCACCAAGAAGCTGTCCTATCCCCCTCGCCTCGCACCCGAGGCCAAGGCCCTGTTGGACGGTTTTCTGCAGCGCGACCCCTCCAAGCGCCTTGGCTGCGGTCGCGATGGCAAGAAGGATATCATGGAACACCCCTTCTTCTCAAGCATTGACTGGGCCAAGCTTGAGCGTCGTGAGGTGCGTGCCACGTTCAATTCCAGCTCGACAGGCAGTATAACGCAGCTTTCTTGCTCGCTGTGGCTCCATGCGCAGGTTGCTTATCCGTACGCCTGTCGTGTCGCACGCGCTCACTCCTTGCCTTAGATCAAGCCGCCATATGTGCCCGAGACGCGTGATCCTCGCGAGGCTGCCAACTTCGACCCCGAGTTCACCGAGGCCGACACAAGCCTGACTCCCTCCGATCCCTATGACATTGCCAACATTGACCAGGGCGTCTTCTCCAAGTTTTCCTACGTCAACGAGGGCTTTTTCACGGGCCAAAAACCCAGCACCCAGCCTCAGCGCCCAGCTCTTTTCGACTACGCCTGGTATCGCCCAGACCTGCCTCGCGACGAGGCAGCCCGCCAGCTCAAGGGCCAAGAAGTGGGCACCTTTTTTGTTCGCGAATCCTCAACGCAACCTGGGTACGTGACCATCTCTACCATGCCTGATCTTGCTCGGTTATTTCGAAGCGCCTGACTTGATCCCTTCCATTCTCATTGGTCACTGCTATTCAACTCATTGCCCCCTCCCTCCACTCTAGCTGCTATGCCATTGCCATGGTGTCCGAGAACAACAAGATTTGGAACGGTCTGGTCACTCCCAGCGTGACTGGCGATGGACGCGTTCTGTATAAGCTTTTTGTCAAGCAAAAGTTTGAAAGTCTGCCTGAGCTTGTGACATACTACACCCAACATCCTGTCACGACGGGTCCTTCAGGCAATCGCCTCTGCCTCCGTGCTTAACTGCAGACTTTTGAGCTCAGCCAGATGACCTCCTCGACCAGCCCCTTCTCAACTCTCGGCTTTGTCACTATTTTTTTTTGTGTGATGTTCTCGTTCTTGTTGCTTTATGTCACTGCACTTTGTCTAGTACTTTTTGCCAGTGTATCGAATGGCCTGCGCCTCGATGGCGCATCTGTTCTGGCAGCTTGAAGCTGCGATTGCCTTGGTCATTTGTGTAACGTGATACGCCCTTGTGGCCTTTTCATGTTCATTCCTTCGTCATGCCGTTGCCTGACACATCCACTGTCACCCCTGCTTGTTGCGTGCCGTGCATCGACTGCCGTGATGCCTCGTGAGTGGTGTTGTTTACACGTTGAATGTTTTCATGTTGTGTTTCACCTGGTTTGTCAAGATGCGTGCCAATCACCTTGGCTTGGCTCGTCCATGTCGTTTGTGCTTCGTTTCACTGACTCGTCTTCTTGCCATTGCCTGCGGGTCCCCGTTCTTTTGGAGGTTGTCTTGCGCCATATCTTTGTCTGCAAGCCCACCAGCTCGGGTGCGATTGTGCACTTTTTCCGTACGCATGCGCACGAATTCAACATTTCTATCTCAGTCTGCCCATGCTGCACTCGTTGTGCTTATAGCGCTCCACAAAAGAGCGCAGACCTTGTGTACCATCGGAAAGGTGTCAATTATCATTCTGAAACAATCATTATATCGTGTCTATTGTCTGGCCAAATGTCAAAAGGGGGCGTTCAGCAGCGCATTCAGGTCCGGCACAGGAATGGCCGGAGAATCCTGTTTCTGCGCTTTCGCCAGAAGATGTCGCAGCTTGTTGACGCGATCCAGCCCACGCCGCAAAAGTTGCAGACGAAGTTTAAGGGTGGACGAATTGCCGGCACGAGCCAAAGCCTCAGATAACATCGCATCAGGATGGGCGCCCATAGCCGCTCGCACGTTTCCTACCGCTTCTTGTTGCAGTTGACTCGATATACCCAACTCCTTGCTCCAGGCAATGGCCTGATCAAAAATGTGTTGGTAGTTTCAGCAGTAAGTATGGCAAACAACGACCACCCTGTTGAAGTGGTTGAAAGCAGCACTGCGGCAGTCACTTACCTGCTTCTGGAAGTGATTCGACAGATGTACAGACATGACTGCGGACGCAGAGGTGGCCACCTGCCGCAACAACAGCGGTTTGTGTTTAAATCAGCAGACAAAAGAACATGTGTGTTGCAAGCAGAGAGTGTCACTACGAGAAAGATCAGAAACACCAGCAGCGGGAGCTCTGTTACAATTTCATAAATGTGCACGGCTTACCATGGGGTGGGGTTGGAAGAAGTCAGTCGGTTGAGCGTGGGCAAAATGTGTTGCCAAGGCCAAATCAGACGGTGGAAATATGTCCACCTGTGCACGGCCCAGAGGCACAGTCAAGGATTGCTCCAGGCAAGCTTGCGGTAGGTTTCGTTTCGGGTTGCTTGGACTTGCAGAAGATCGAGGAGGCAAGCCGGGCGCCGGGTCGTCTGTATTGTTTGGCTCATTGCGGCTGCGCTTTGAAGGGGGAGGCCCAGCATGCGCCGAGGAGCGAGTGAGGGTCTGTCCAAAATCTTTTCCTTGGCTTTCGTGTGCATTGACACTGCCGTTTTTCGGTGATGTCGTGCCACATGCTTGGTGAGCTTCGCTGGCAGGCATGGGTGTGAGCAAGGAGAACCCAGAACTGGCAGCCATCATGCTTTGATGTAGGTGCTGAATCATAGCCATCGCCTGAAGCTGCGATTGCCAGGCTTGAACTTGAGCCAGTTGCTGCTGTTGCAGTTGCTGTTGCACGAATAGAAATCCAGGATCTTGAGCCATGTTGTCCAGCTTGGAGCGCTCCGTAGCACTTGCCTGAGCATGCAGATCAGACGCCGCGGCTGCTGATCCAAGGGCCGCCTGAACCAGCGACAGTCATTTCGGTCAGGCGCTTCTGACATGGTAAAAGCCAACCCAACGAAGACTAGCTGCTGTATAAAAACATTTTTGTCGTTTGCACACAACGTGACAAACCTTCTCCATCTGTTCAAGCACAGCTACCAGATCTGGGGCATCGAGCGAATCAAAACTTTTCGGCACCTGAAGGTTGTGCAAGAGACAACACAAATGAACAAAAACAAATGAGATGAGGGCTCGTGTGGACGAGATGCTGTCTTGCGTCAAGAAGAGAGAAGAAATTCTCATACGTCGGCCATGTATTCGGAAAGATCCCGCAGCACTGTTTGGAGAATAGGATCGGCTTGGGCTGGAGCCGAGGCCAGCGCATCGCTGATGGGAATCACGGGCAGATTGGGCTCAGCGAAGGACTCAAGCGACATTTTCTGCGCTCTCACCCGAGCACCAGGGCGGGACACGGAAAGCGGCGGGTGTGTATCGCAGCACGACAATTCCGGGGTAGGTGAGTCATCCATCTCGCAAGGTCTTGCCCACGCAAGCAGAGGCAAAGTAGCGCGCACCTTGAACCAATCATAGTTTGTCTCGAGGGAGTCTTTTTTTACATAGTTCGTCAAACGGGCTTTGTTGCTTTGTGGTCGATGAAGTAGCACATCGAGGGTGCCTGCAGCTACGAGACGGTAGATGAAGACCGGTCGGGTTTGCCCATATCTAACACAGATCAATCGCAAGTGCAGGAGGTGAGGGCACGGTAAGTCAAAGGGGGCGGGAGAGAAATAGGCATCAACGACGTGCAGGGTGTGCACGGAGCCCGACCTGTAAATGCGGGCAATAGCGCTGGTGTCGGAGAGTGCATCCCAAGCAGCGTCAAAGATGATGACGCGAGAGGCGGTGGTGAGGTCGATGTTCAGGCGACCAATCTTGGTGCACGCTATGAGGAGGCCCATGCGCGGACTCGTGCTGAAGGCTTCAATCCGCTGATGCCGTTCTGATGCTGACTCTGTGCCATCAAGGCGAGTGTAGTCGTCTGGCATGACCCAGTGGCGTCCGGCTTTGGTACCCGCGGCTAGCATCGGCTCCAACGCATCCAGTGTTTTTGCGCTCTGTTGATGTCAAGGCCAGTCGACAAAGGGTGTCAAAAGGACGGCGCAGCACCTCCAGCGCAGCCAGACTGTGCCTCGAGGATGAAGCAGTCGCGAATTTCCCACTCTTCCTCGTGTCATAAACCCAAAAACCCAAAACTGAAACAAAAACCAAAAACCAAGGACGAAAACCCAAAGTTGGATTTCAAACCCGACCTGAGTCAACAGCACCACCTTCTCTCCTGTGCTGTGCGCTTGTTCAATGAGGCTGAGGGCAACCATGACTTTAGCTGGCAAAGGAAGCACAAGCAATAACAGATATAAAAATAAGCAGGGTTCGAAAACAAACAAACTAGCCGCACGCTGCAACAATTGGATCCATGAGGTTCCTTCAGGTTCCACGAAATTGTGTACCTCCAAACTGAGGGAGACCCATTTGATGTTGCCGTGCCCGCAAAATGGCAGGTGCCCAAGTTGCGGCTGGATGCACTCTCTCCGTTGTGAGTGTCGATGTCGCTTGCAATTCTGAGGCTAAACGGTCCGGGTGGCTCCAGACTTGAGACGAGGTCAACGGTATGGTTTGTTTGGAAAAGGCCGTGAGGTGATGAGCATGGATGAGCATGGATGAGCACAATAGATTCACATGTCAGGGTGCGTGGGTCCGTGCGGGGGTGTTGGGTTCTTACTATGCGACATTAGATTTAATGCGGCGGGAAAGCCTGCAAATGGGCTCTGTAAGAAGCCTTGCATCAAATCCACCTAAAGGTTGCACAGCCCAGCATGCCTTGAGGATAACCGAGGGTAAAGTAACAATATTTTGGTTGAGCAGAACCAACCTGCATGGGCACAAGGCGGCAAAAAACAAGGCACTCGTGCTTGGGCGAAAGCACATGCTTTGCAGCAGTGTGGCTGCACCAGTGGGCAGTAGTGGCCAAAAGCTGATGCAGTTTGTGTGCCGGCTCCAGCAGCGCCTCCCTGGGTGAGCTTTGAGCTCCACTGGACAAGTCGCCGTGAAATCGAGCATACCTAGGGACATCAGCGATGGTAAGATCTATCACATGTGGCCCGTAAAAAGCGAGAGCCGACAGACAGCGTTATAATTGATTGTTCCTAACCAGAGAACAAATTCGCGCCGTGGGCCAAGCATTCCTGGTCGAACAAAGTCACACATTGCAAACAGTTCGGAAGCATTCCTTTGGAGTGGTGTGCTCGTCAGGCAGATTCGGCGGTGCGTGGACATGCGCGACGCCATGTGGCAGCGAGCAAGCCGGTGCCCTGTTGCCAAGGGCAGCAAAAGACGAAACGTGGCGGGAGTGAGAGGCCTGGGCGCCAGGTACAAGCAAAACAAGCTGTGCCTGGTGTGAGGCGAGGTCGAGACCAACCTTCATCACACACGACCAGATCAGGGTCATCAAGGATGCGGCTGTTTCGCTTTCGTCCATTGAGATGAACTGCCATCTCATAGGTGGCGATCAAGATGCCGCCGCTTGATCTCCATGAGGCGAGCACGGACGTGGGATCGCCTGGCGTTGCGCCCAGCAGCCATACCGGGGGGCAGAGTGATGTGGGCAGCCACTTGGCAATCTCGCGACACCAGTGGTGTACAGCGTAGGATGGAGCCAAAATCAAAACCTGAGCGCAAGGGGATCAAACGATCATGTTAGGGAAAAAAGCGTCCCAAGGCAAAGGCTTGGGTGGGGTGGAGCACACATGCCTGGCGCATGTTTGTAAAGCGTAGTGCAGCCTGAACCAGGGCAATAGCGGTCAGCGTCTTCCCCAAGCCCATGCCATGTGCTAGAATAGCACCATTACTCTATTATTTCGAGTTCCAGCCACGTTGTTTGCATGAGCTGAGAATGAGGACCTGATTCATTGCATGGTTAGGACGGTGAAGGTGGCACAGCAAGGCATCAAGATGGACATACGCCTGTCGGGTGGCGCACCACTTGGTCAGGGTGACCAATAACGGTTCGCCATAGAAATTGAACAGCATGTCGCTGAGGCATGGTGAGGGTAGCGGTCAGACGGGCAGGCAGAGCCACACGCTAAAAAAAAGGATCAGAAAGCCGGGCCATTCGTATCGTGAGTTTCAATGGCATGAGGAGATGTCTAACAAGTCGAAGCCCGACAAACCTGGGTATCCGTGGGCTGTCCAAGCTCCAAGGCTTCGGGTTCGGGAGCAAAGGCCTGGTCCTATCGCGCAGCCCGAGGATAGTCTGAATGACAAAGAGTCTGGCTCACCAACAAAAGAGTGGCCAAAACCTACTTCTTTGATGGCTTCAACCTTGCGCCTGTTGATCTCGGCACACCATTGAAGAAGCGAGAGTTCGTCCCAGTCGTCCCAGTCCTCTGAACGATCACCAGCTTGCGAGAGGAGATTTGCCGCAGTGTCATCAGCGACTTGAGGGGGTTCGTTCTGATCCTGATCCTGATCCTGATCCTGATCCTGCTTCTGATCCTGATCCTGATCCTGCTTCTGATCCTGATCCTGATCCTGCTTCTGATCCTGATCCTGATCCTGCTTCTGATCCTGATCCTGCTTTTGATCCTGATCCTGCTTCTGATCCTGATCCTGATCCTGCTTCTGATCCTGATCCTGATCCTGCTTCTGATCCTGATCCTGATCCTGCTTCTGATCCTGATCCTGCTTTTGATCCTGATCCTGCTTTTGATCCTGATCCTGCTCCTGATCCTGATCCTGCTTTTGATCCTGATCCTGCTCCTGATCCTGATCCTAAGTTGTGTGCAGTTACCAGAATGAGACCACGACAATCGAGCGTCCAGTACATGGCACCAAAAGTGCAGCAGCATGCCTGCGTCACTGGTTCGGGTGTAGGGCTTGGTGCAGGTCTGGTCTTGTTGAGAGTGTCATCCAGGCCGCGCCAGGGGATGCCGTTCAAGTCCGTGACAGCGGGGACAAAATCTTGTGGAAGCTTGCATGTGATTGCGTTCCGACCCTGTGACCAACAAGAATGGCATGAGTCTGGGAGGGCAAGGAGGTGCGTGGACGGTCGCAGCATTCACTGGCCTGCCGTATATAGCCCCTCAACGGTAAAAACAGAATCGACAATCTTGAAACAATAAAAAAAACCACGTAGCTCACCATGCGGTTGCGCTGACTGCAGTACCCGCAGATGAAAGACCGCGCAGGATCCAGGGCCCGACCAACAGCTCTGCGATAGCAGGACATGTGAACGCTGTTGGGGCAGCCATCGCAGCAAAAGAGGCTGGAAAAACACAGGTACAGCACAAGGAAGAAACGTGTGTGAGAGGACGCAAGAGGAGTTGTGATGAGGCAGGAGGGTGAAGAGCTTGCTATTCAGTGGTGCCGCAGGGGAGCGGTGCAGAAGGACGCACAGGCCACCATGGAGGCATAAAAAACAATCATTGTCGTTCTGGATATCTTCGGACGCTGGGCCTTTGGGGGTGGTCGTAAGGGGACGAGCCGTTGACGTGGGATCGGCGGGGATGGTTGCCGGTGCAGAGTCAGAGGTCTTGCTCTTCAAAGCGACGCCAACCGCGTGAGCGAGGTGAAGCGCGTGTGTGGCTTGAGCGAAGTACCAGGACACCAGCCACAGGACTAACGACAGTACGTGAGACGTAGGACATGAGAGGGGCTCACCTTTTCCTCTTGGGGCGATGCGTGGTGTTCAGCCATGCTTCCCTGATGTGAATGGCTCAGTCAAGGTGGTGCCCGTTGCCGTTCTTGTGCGTGGTACCTGGCTGGAGCCCGCAAGGGCCTTGGCCGAATGCTCGGTCTACAACCTTCGCCCCAAAACGTGTCCAGCGCTTTTGTCTGGTCTTCCACCTGCAAGCCCTGATCCTGCTACACAGAGCTCCGATGAGCGCAAGGAGGGCTCAAAGCAAGAGGTGTCCAACCCAGCCACCCACCATGCGGTGAGGGAAGAGCCAAAAAAAAAAAAAAAAAAAAAAAAAAAAAAAAAAAAAAAAATAAAAAGAAAAGAGCCAATGCGACGCTCTGCGTGATGACAAATCCAGTGTAACGGTCACAACAAGGGAAGAATGGCAATGACAAGAAAGCAGCGGGTCTTGTCCCTTTTGGGCTAAAAAGTGTTTCTGTTGTGAGGGAGTGGACATGAGGGCAGCGGCGGCTGTGTGTGGGTGCGCGAGACGAGACAAGAAACGTTGAACAATAATTTATTGAATGGATTCGAAGTAGTCTTAATGATAGGTTATTGAGACGTTTACAGAGGTAAGGACATCAACTGGCGAGGTAAGAAAAACCACACCGAGGGAGCTGAGACGGACACGGCAAGCCGCGCTCAATGACAGCAAGATACAAGGGAAAAAACAAGCGGAACAAGAGCAAGCTTATTCCATCTCCTCCTCCTCCTCGTCAAACTCGCCCTCCTCCTCGGCGGTGGCATCCTGGTACTGCTGGTACTCGGAGACGAGATCGTTCATGTTGGACTCGGCCTCAGTGAACTCCATCTCATCCATACCCTCACCAGTGTACCAGTGAAGGAAGGCCTTGCGACGGAACATGGCAGTGAACTGCTCCGAGACGCGCTTGAAGAGCTCCTGGATGGCGGTCGAGTTACCGACGAAGGTGGAGGACATCTTGAGGCCGCGGGGAGGGATGTCGCAGACGGCGGTCTTGATGTTGTTGGGGATCCATTCGACGAAGTAGCTCGAGTTCTTGTTCTGAACGTTGAGCATCTGCTCGTCAACCTCCTTCATGGACATGCGGCCACGGAAGATGGCGGCAACGGTGAGGTAGCGGCCGTGACGGGGGTCGCAGGCAGCCATCATGTTCTTGGCATCGAACATCTGCTGGGTCAGCTCGGGGACCGACAGGTTGCGGTACTGCTGGGAGCCACGGCTGGTCAGGGGGGCAAAGCCGGGCATGAAGAAGTGGAGACGGGGGAAGGGCACCATGTTGACGGCGAGCTTGCGGAGATCAGAGTTGAGCTGGCCAGGGAAGCGGAGGCAGGTGGTGACACCCGACATGCAGGCGGAGACGAGGTGGTTCAAGTCACCGTAGGTGGGGGTGGTGAGCTTGAGGGTACGGAAGCAGATATCGTACAGGGCCTCGTTGTCAATGCAGTAGGTCTCATCGGTGTTCTCGACAAGCTGGTGCACCGAGAGGGTGGCGTTGTAGGGCTCGACAACGGTGTCCGAGACCTTGGGGGAGGGCACCACGGAGAAGGTGTTCATGATGCGGTCGGGGTACTCCTCACGGATCTTGGAGATGAGGAGAGTACCCATGCCAGAGCCGGTACCACCGCCGAGCGAGTGGGTGAGCTGGAAGCCCTGGAGGCAGTCGCAGCCCTCAGCCTCCTTGCGGACGACATCGAGGACAGAGTCGACGAGCTCAGCACCCTCGGTGTAGTGACCCTTGGCCCAGTTGTTACCGGCGCCAGACTGGCCAAAGACAAAGTTGTCGGGGCGGAAGATCTGGCCAAAGGGGCCAGCGCGGACCGAGTCCATGGTTCCGGGCTCAAGGTCGACGAGGACGGCGCGGGGCACATACTTGCCACCGGTGGCCTCGTTGTAGTAGACGTTGATGCGCTCCAGCTGGAGATCGCTGTCACCGTGGTAGGTGCCGGTGGGGTCAATGCCGTGCTCATCGGAGATGACCTCCCAGAACTTGGCACCAATCTGGTTGCCGCACTGGCCAGCCTGGATGTGAACGATTTCACGCATGATGGCGGTTGAAAGGGGGGTGGGGAGAGGTAAAAGAAAGGTCTAAAAGGGTCACCAGCAAACAAAAGCAGGCAAGGGCATGAGGCTGGCAGCCCACGACGCAAGGGGGGGGGGCAAAGACGAGCAAGTGGTGGCACTGCGACGAGGCAGCCTTTTATTTGGATCCGTTGTCCCCGCTGCCATCCCTGATAGTGCCTGATACCACGGATCAAAAGTTCACGGGATGGTCGACGCACCTTTTATCTCAGTTGATCAGCCAGAGGCAGAAAAATGACCTTTGGGCGAGCATCTGTCGAGAAGGGAAAGCAAGGGGAAGAGGAAGGGGTGGGGGGGAAGAAGGAAGGAAGGAGAGGTTCCCAAAGGGCAAAGCAGGTAAGGTGGAGAGCGAGGGTAGCTGGTAATGTCAACGTTAGTGTTGACGTTGACAACAGCCAACGGTGGCGGTTAGGAAAGCAGTGGTGGGAGCAACGGAGCAGGATCTTTTCAAAGGGGATTTGGCTTGTACAGTGAGTGTGAGTGAGTGTGAGTGTGAGTGTGTTTGGTCGTCAAGGAAAGCGCCAACACCTTTGGATCCAAACAACGACCCAACTATCCACACGATGAGGGATGGATAAGGTGTTTTTTTTGTCGGGAAATCTATTCAAAAAAATTTCAATTCTTTTCGCTACCCCCCCTCTCCATGATCCGAAATTGGTTGTGCACTGTTTTTGGTGTGGGGTGCATGTGGATGGGATACGGCTTGGGGATGTACTTGGTGCGTGCAGAACAGGGTTTTCTTTTCTTTTGAAAGGGGCACATGACTGTTACATGAACATCAACTGTTGGGGATGCAGGTGTTGCATCAATCCGAGAAAGAGCATTGCCACCTTGCCTTATGTATGCTATGTACATGTAGTTGTTGTGTACGTTGAATTCGTGGTTGATGGTGCACATGGTGGTTGCTGTTGTTGTTGTTGTGATAAGCAAGCACCCTCCATCATCTTGACAACCCCCCCACCCCAATCTCCCAAACTCCCAATTCTGCCGATGCAAGGCCAATGTTCGCAAGTCTCCACCAAGACTGGGAGGAGGATGTTTGCGGGGACCAGGAGACAAATCTCCCAGATTCCACAGAGACTTGAAGACTCCAAATATTCGGCGCCGGCGCCCACAACAAAGCCTGACAAGTCGAAACCCGTCGCTTCCCTTGTTGATGAGCCCATCACACACACACGCACACACACACACACACACACACACACACACACACACACACACACACACACACACACACAAATGCGCGCCGGCGCCCAATTTTGTTTCAAAGGACAAGGGGATTTTAGAAATTGAGATCGAGAACACAATCTTCGCCTCGCTGCCATCCATCAATCCGCCAAGAACTCCAACCCTTTTGCTCCTCCTAGCTCCATTGACCCAGCAGCATGTCGCTGTATCAGCACTTTGAAGCTCGCCCCAAGGTTGCGGAGCGAGACATTCCCAAATACAAGCAGAAGCGCACTTCTTCCAGCTCCTCCATCAAAGTTCAAGACGTTCCCGCCGCACCCGCCACGGTAGTCGCCGGGCGCGAGTCCCCCGCCACCCTTGCCGGTCACCACCAGTACTTGCGCCAATTTGACCTCGACATGACCTTTGGCCCTTGCGTTGGTCAGTTCTGGCGCGACCCGTCTCTCAGCAGCTCACCATTCCTCCGGCCGCTCGCGTGTTGGCTCGTCTCACATCCGACTCGGTTCTTGTCCCTCGCCTAGGCGTGTCACGACGAGAGCGCTGGGAACGGGCTGACGCCTTTGGCTTGAATCCTCCCAAAGCCGTCCTGCGGCTCCTGGAAAACCATCCTCAAGATGAAACCTTTCAACAGTGTCTCTGGTACAACACTCTCTGAACACGCTTGCTCGTCGCGCCAGAACCCCGCTGCTTCTTCCCCCTTTTCTTCCTTTCTTTGAGTCACACACCCCGCGGTAGTCCCACCCCTTGCCGTCGGCCGCTTGCTGCTCGACGGGATGGGTCGTCTCTCTGAGAGTGACAAAAACCGGCTGCCACGTCGTTCCATGTCTGTCCACTGGTCTCTGCCACGCCGTTACTGTTCATATCCAGACTTCTTCTTTTTTGATCTTGATCCCTCTCCTGACTCATTTTCCTTGCTGTCAGCCATTATGAGAATTGAAGTCCTAAGAAAGCACGCCTCGTTTTATGTGTCATCAATTACCAATTACCTTCATTGTGCGCGCCGTGCGCGCGCGTGCCTGGCGCTCCCTCTTGTTCATTCAGGGACGAGGTTCGGGTCACAGTGCCAGTACAGCGCTACTGTGCAATCACTGGGCGCTGTTGGCTCACTGCACGATAGGTGGCTGCCACGTCCAACGGTTTGCTTGTAAATTGTTCCGACTTGAGCTCATCCATCAGCCATGGGGATAGTGGCCAGGGCGCATGGCTTGTGTCAGGGCCCAAGCCTCCCGCAGCCAACAATCCTTCCCCGTCTTGCATCCAATATCTTCGTCCATACCTAAGCAGCGTGCCAGTAAGGTGAGCCAAGCTGACCCCTTCACATCACTCCCCATTCGTTGCCTTGCCATGCTTTCACGTACTCCAGGCACATCTTTTCCGACGCCGCTGTGCATGCAGCCAGTTCGGGGATCAGCTCGCCAAATGGGACTGGCCACCGCCCACTGCCTGCCATGACAAGTTTTTGAGTCGCTGCCACGAGCCGTGGTTGCAGATGGGAGGCTGGAAAAATAGCAGCAAACCCCGCCACGAGGTGCAACCGCAGCAGAGCCGGCGCGGACACGGGGGCTTCTGCAGCAACAGGTGCTTCCATCCTCTCTGGGCCCAGATCCCCTTCTACCAATCTCAAGTAGGCCGACAGCATGGTGCTGGGCTCCTCGAGTTGCCCCTCCAGTCGGGCGCGGCCGTAGCGCCGTTGCAGCAGGAGCAACAGCAATACTAAACTCAGTTGTAGCGCCAGCTGGACCTCTGAAGTGAGGTCCACCTGGCGATCGACGAGCACCTGGCCAGAGTCAAAGGTGCCCAAAAAAAGAGCTGGCGGGGAGGGATCGCCATACCCCACCGTCAAGGCAAGAGCCACGGCTGCCGCGCAAGGTGCACGTCGTACATGCTCTCGAATTGCGGGTACACCCGCTCGTCGAAACTGCAGCAAACCTGCTTGTAGCCATGCCAGCGTCATCGCTCGCAGCAAAACAGCGTCGCGTACTTCCTCGAAAAGGCGACGTGCCGGCTCTTGGCGCATTGTCTTCACCAACGCCGTGAACAAGGGACCAACATGTTCGCTCGACCCGCGTACAGCACCGACAAACCTAGCCAGGAGCACGGATGAAAGCACTCCAACGCGTGGGCAAGCACTTGCCGTCCTTACACCCCGCACCAACACCTGCCAGCACCAGTGCATTGAATATCACAGCAGAGATGGCCGCAAGAAGAACGGAGAGACAAAAAACAACAACAAAAACAAAAGCCATTGTCAGTCATTGTCAGTCAGAACCACACAAGCGCTTTTGCCAGGCCCACTGATCAGGATTTCTCACAGTCAAGCTGTCTCGTGCGGATGGCGTCGATGATCGCGTCTCAAAGTAGCAGATGGACAGTTCCTCCAGTTTCACCTGTGCGAGCCGAAGTGCATCAGGCACCAGCTCTGGTCGAGTCCACATCCAAGCCCCACCAAAACCCACGTCCACGGCGGATCTGAGTGAGGCATGCCTAGAGAGGCACACCGATAGAAGTCATCATCAGAGTAGGAAGCGCTACCCTCGTGGCATCAAATGCTGGTCATCGTGGTCACAATGTCATATCATATAACCCCAAAGTACGGTGCAACGGTTTGGAGAACCCCCTCGAGACGAACAAAGCACAAAACAAATGCAAGTGACAACACGCAGTGCTGGTCTGGCCAGGCACCTGCCGCACCACGTACCAGCTTTGTTGAACGATCACTCGCTGCAGCCGCTCCAAATCAGCAATCAGTGTTGCGTGCTGCAAAACTTTGCCGCCGCCTGAGTCAGTCCAAGCGGATGCATATTGGTGAAAGAGACCTAGGGTGCTCTTCTCGATGTCAACCAAGTTGAATGATTCCAACGGGCCAGTTGGCACCTTCAGCAAAGCCAGCACGGCGTGGATCCAGGCCTGTCCAGCTGCCACGCTATCTGCGTCCAGCCTAATCTCCCATCGCAGAAAGCGCTCCATCATGCGGCACAGCGTCTGGACTCCTCCATTGATGATGCTTGCTCTGCCATCCATCTTGAAAGGCGGCGTTCCACCAGCGGCCCCTTCATGCTGAAACTCGTCAGGCACTGCCCAGGCCAGTGCTGATAGTGCCGCAGCCAACGGCACCAGGTCGCTTGCGTCGACTTGATCTTGAGCATTCTGCGACGCCCATTGGCTCAAAGCGTCCAGGATGGCCACAGCACGCTGCTTGTCAGGAGCAGCGTTGACACCGCTGAGAACAGCGAGTAGAGGATTCCCTTGCTTTGTGGGGCTAAAGCCTGGCTTGACATGAACTACAAACACCATTTGTCGAACCGACAAGTCCACAATCATGGGATCCACCTGCACTAAGCGCTGGACGAGCTCCAAAACAAGAGTCGGCAAGGTGTCGCGCATTTCAACAAGGGTTTGTGAGAACGCCGTCGTGGCACCACGTAGCCTGATGCAGTGAACCACAGCGTGTCCCCCAAAGGGTAGAGTCAAGACATTTGCCAACGCCCTGACCGAAGCACACAACTCTGCCGGTAGAGTTGAATCTGCTTTTGCAGCAGCACTCGCCGCTTCGAAGGCTTGCAAGGCGTCCGTCGCCCGCAAACAAGCCAGCGCCCACTGCATCACCTGGGTCCCACTGCTCTCATCAAGGGCGGCTGGGAGGCTGACTGTGAATGATTTGCAGGAAGTTTGGGGTGTTGAGCTTGAGCTGGATGCCGGCACGGCTGGCCCAGGAGGTTTCGTCACAGTCACTGAAGGTGGTAATTTATTGACCAACGCCAAAGCCCGGACAAGCAGCATGACCGCCATGGCGCCCTCGCTCATAAATTCCAAGCCTTGCCGTGACCGCGTGAGCTCCGTCAAAAGATCCAATGCCAGTGAGCGCAGGGCTGAGAGTTGTAAACCAAGCTGTGAGGCAGTATTTGCTTTGGTACTGGCAATATAGACAGCGTCAACAAGGTAACGTGACAACATGGCGATGATTTGCGTTCGATGCAACAAAGTCATGATCCAGGGCAGGGCGCCAGCTTGGCGCGCCACAACTTCATCCGAGGCTTCAGCAAGGCCAGAATTCTCAACTGGTGCAGTCATCTCGGCGGCGGTTGGTGTGTCCCAGAAGCGGACACCCCATTGTTGGAGCATGCTCTCCTCCGACGAGACATTGCTGCTCGGGGCTCGCGCCAGCAGCGCCAGGGCACGCAAGGTGGTGCAGTCGAGCGACGCCACATCCTGGCTAGCTCGAGTCAAGTGGTCGCAACTGGCAACTAGCTCGGCTCGCTTAAACACGGCAGCAGCCAGCAGGCGTACGCGAGAACTCGGCGCGCTGAGTACGAGTTGAGGTAGGTTAAGAGCCCATTGCACGAGATCAAATGAGGAAGCCTCTGAGTCGGTGAGCAGTCTCCCAGTCATGGCAGATAAAGGTCTGGTCAGCGCCGTTAGGCAAGCCAGCAACAGTTCGCTTTGTAATGGTGAGATCATGGGGCGGGCGAGCGCGGCACAGAGCCATGACCAGATTCTGGACATGGAGCCAGCCCATTCCGAAGGAATCCACAAGGCCGTTTTGCCAAGAGCATGCAAGATGCTGGCACAACCACGTAAAAGAGTCAGGCGAGTGTGACTAGACGGTGCATTCGCCCGGCTTTCTGGCGCTGAGCACCGATCGAATAGGCGTGGTATCTGTTGCAAGGCGCGCACATGAGCGCGGGGCCACGGTGTGCTCATATTGGCCTCTGCTTGGTCCAGGAACGCCACGTCTTGGGCTGGATCGTAGAGGCCACGTAGGCCCAAAGCGAGGTGCCGACCTAGTCTGTTGACAAGATCGGAAAGGCTGGCCCAATCGCGATGCGTAGGGTCATCAGTTTTTTGAGCTGACCAGTTTTCCAAATCCTGAAAAGTACTCTGGAGTGCAGCAGTGGCTTGGTTGACATTCGTTGGGCTTGCCGTTTTGGACAGAGTGCTCTGCGCGCGAAGCCAGCGGCTGAGCTCAGCGGCAAATAGCGGCACGGTGCTTTGAAGCTGCTGTGGCGGTATAGAGGTAGAGCACATGGCCAGGACAGACCACCTGGGGTCTGACTCTCGCACTGTGTGTCGGATGGGAGCTTCAAGGCGAGGGTTGGAAGTTGAGTCTTGCCGTGTCGCGCTGGGGGACGTGTTGGTGATGATCGAGTCTGAGGCACGGTTATCGGTGGCGTTCTCATGCCCGCTGGAATCTCGCGGCATGGCGCCGGGAGGCTCGTTATCTGTGGCAAGTGCGACCAAGTTGGGGTAGGAATCACGGTGGTCTCTTGCAGGTGATGGCTCTCGTACTGAATCAGGAATATCATTAGCAGCAGAGGCTACCATGGCGGGAAGCTTACTGTCGCCTCTGGCTACGTCATCATCATCATCACTCACGGCGTCGACATCACTGTCCATGTGCGAATGCCCGAGGTTTTCCGCAGCAACCTTGTTTTCCAACTGAATACTGGAGTGTTCCTCCTTGGACCTATGATGATCAGGCTTTGGCTGTTCAGCAGGTGATGCTTTATCAATAGAGCCGCTCCTTGGCTCGTCCATGAGGGCATCGCCATCAACCCTCTCATTGCCATCATCATCACCACGGTCATCCTCTTTTGCCGTTGGCTCAGCCTTGTTCTCAGATTCCGACTCTGCCTCGGTCTCGTTCTTTAACGGCTCATCGTGGCGCTTTGGAGGCCCGTCCGTTGACTTTTTCACTGTCTCGTCCGTTGGCTTTGGCTCGTCCATTGACTCATTCATCGTCTCGTCCATTGGCTCGTCCATATGCCCATCATGTTGCACGGCATTATTGCTATGCAGTACAACAGACTGCACAGGGCTTGTGCGCTTTGGCAAACTTTCAGACGGAGAAGGCTGACTTTTGGGCATTGCGCTTGAGGGGGCCAGGGTCGTTGGGACCACCGCTGGCTCGCTGCTTTGTCGTCTGGGTTCCTGTTTGAGCAGGCGTTGCTCCTCCTCATGACAGCGTAATCGCTCGAGCGCTCGCCCGTCGGGAGCACCCAGGATGATTAACGTAATTTCCTCAAAATTTCCGCTCAAGATGATGCGGTCTGTAGCAGGTATGTCCACGGGGTGGGCCACCACTGCATCGGAGAAAGTCAGCGTGCCCAGAGTGCGCATGAACGGCTTGACTTGACCATCCACCCCAAACTCCGAATGTTGTAGAGTAAGCACATTTACACTTGGCACCGTCCGCCTGTCAATAATCCGCAGATTGCAAGAGATGCAAAGCAAGATTACCACCAAACCCGGGTTATAAAGTTTTTATGGATTGCGCATTAATTGTTGTTGTTGTTGGTGTTGTTGTTGTTGTTGATGGTGGTGGTGGTGTGTGTGTGTGTGTGTGTGTGTGTGTGTGTGTGTGTGTGTGTGGAGCGCGGCAAACAACATGGGCACAGATACGCGGTCAAGGCTCAAGGCATTGAAGTAGATCAAACGTACCCGCTTATGGTCATTTTGGGGACTGTGACATTGAGTGGGATCAGCCGAATCTCACACACGGCAACCGGACACTGAAAGCCAACGACAGCAAGCTGAGCACTCTATGAAGCATCACAACGAAGCCAGCCGGGTGATTCTGATGCAAACGCGGCAGGAATGCAAATAACAGTAGTGATTAGAGGTCCGTTCTAGGCCGCGCGGCACCAACCAAATGATCCGCAAAGAGAAGTTTGGGCCCGGTCGGCGGAATCTCGATTCGAGGCAGCTTGGCTGCGGGCTGATCTTGCTCACGGTGCTGTCCGCGCAAGCGCAGAAGACTGGCGGGGCGAGCAGCCATGCTGCAACTAGGTCAGTCAATCACGACAAACAGCCCCTCCAGAGCCACTTTCAAGTTCTTCGGGGTGCCATGGATCGAGGAGTGCTCGAGCACATGACCACGTGTGGCCGGAGCAGGCCAGAGGGCTCTTTGGACACGCGCAGCCCTCCCTCTGGCTTCCCCTGACTTGAATCAAGCCACCAATCCGAGCTGAAATGCAGCTTCTGCTTCCTCCCACCCTCCCACACACGCATCCTCCCCCCAAAACACCTCTCCCGTCACTGTTCAGCCAAGTCGCCGCGGCCACACACAATCAAGCTGAGGTGAGAGGAAGCAAATGCACACAGAGAGAGTGAGAGAGAGAGAGAGAGTGAGAGAGAGAGTGAAACAGTGAGAGAGCGAAAGAGTGAGAGAGAGAGACAAACACACACACACACACGCACAAATTGATGACAATTCCGATGTCAGCCAAAACTGAAAAACTGTAAAACTGTGTTGTTTGTTGTTCGCATCATCATCATCATTAGTCCTGAGATCACTCCCCGGTGGAGATCAAGGCCTCGTTCCCCGCCCACTTTTTTTGTGCTCGGGCGATCGATGCTCCCGGACCGACGCCACTGGTGGGGGGGGGGGTTGCTACGTGCTGCATTTTCTCTTCGGTGGACCGCGCGCGCGTGAGTGCCGTGACAAGGTGTGGTACTTGGGGTGTGTCGCCTCAGCAGCGTTCATTCGTGTAGTCAAGGCCTGTCGAATTTGAAAATCCCATCACCAGCATTGACTCACAGCCACTTGGTTGCACCCCGTAGTGCTCGGGCAGCGAATGGCATCAGGCTGTGAATTGGCGAACCAGAACACGTGGCCCACTGGGCGCACCTTCCCTTTGTGGCTTGGATAGTTTACAAACACCTGCGCCATGGCCGGTGCCACCCCGCTCCACTGCAAGCAGTTTGACTGCACCGAGTCCCTCGAGGAGTGTTGGAAGGCAATGCAGGAACCAAACGGGGTATTTGGATTCCAAGAAGTACGCTCATTTCGCCCCTCTCATCAGCTTTGTGCAAGCTGAGCTTTTCAAAGGAGTCCTCAAAACCCGCTCCTCTTTGCTCCGCAGACGGCCATGGGCTGGAAGCCACCAACCCAGTTTCAGTGCAAGTTTCGCCTTGATGTTCACCGTTCCAACGTGATCATTTTTGATTGGTCTGGACATGACAAAGTTCGTTTTTGCTTCTCTACCAGCTCGTGCACGCTCGCAGCCAGAGGCTGCCTTTTGACGCTGTCGCAACGGTTTGGGTGCTGAAACTTGTCTAGTTTGTCATTCCGATCCGGTACATGTCCGATGTGCGCGATACAGCATTTCTCGATGAAACTGAGGTAAAGAATAACCCTGACCCTCCCCGCTGCCAGTCTAATTGCTCGCTGCTTTGCTGGCTCGAGGGCCTACTCGTTGCTATTTTTCGCATCTCACGTTCCCCAACTCATCTTGCTCGACGTTCTATTAGTCCCATCCAATGGCCGGCAGCGATCTGCTGGTGGAAATTGCCTATTTCACCGGCGGCAAGGTTGACTTTTACAGCACGCAATTCTTCGGATTCATTTGCAAAGATCTCGAACTCGCCCAGGTTTGTGCGCCTGCCCGACGGCAAAGTTGAGGATGCGCCGGTCATGCTTCAAACCATCTCTAAACGCTGGACTTGGCCTCGCCGATGTTTGCCTTTTTCTATAGAAGTGGCGCAAGGGACTACATGCCCTCATCTCGCAGAACGGATTCAATTCAAATCGATATGCTCCACCGATCGTGAGTTGTTTGTTGTCTTGCCACGTGATATTCGCATCTCACACACGCCCAAGTAATTTTGCCACAACGCATTCTGCCTGTTGCCCGACGCACTTAGGAACGACGCCAGTGGCTTCATGCACACGTATTGGCCCACGCCGATGAGCAACGACAGACACTCTCTGTCAAGCGGTAAGGTCGCATCTGCCGTTTCAAGCTCGTATCCACTTTACTTAGGCTTGAAACACTCAAGCCCAAACCCCATGAGCATCACCCCCCGCGTGACCGACGCTCCCTTGCTTCTTTTGACAACAGACTAGCATCCCTCCTGGGCAACGACACCGAAAAGCCATGCCTGGAGTACCTTCACAAGCACTCGAAAGTCTTTGGCGTTGTCGAAAAAGCCAAGGATGAAATCAACATCGCACACCTCTCTTTTTCGGAGTTCAATGTGCGACCTTGCCACTACGAAACTTATTTTTGGGGCGAGGGGGACCAGCACTTGGCTCATGTTGTTTGTGTGTACCACGCATATAGAGCCTCATGAATCATGTGTATACACGCTACGACCTGAGCACTGCCTTTGATACTTTGTTTGAAGGCCGAAATTACATTGGTCGCGACATCCTGCTGCAGTTTTTGGGCGAGGTACAGCAGAGCCGCGTGTTTTGTTCTGAGACACAAGTTATGATACAGAGGGGCACAGTCTCCGACAGCTTTTGAAGGCAGCCAAGCCAGGAAAATCTACTTATCAGGTGTGCTCATGAAATTCATCTTTGCCTGTAGATTCAGCGCGATCCGCGCCTCAATGAGGTGCTGGACCCCATGCCAACACTTGCTGACTGCGACGAGATTATCAACCGCTTTGAAGAGGATGAAAAGCTGAGGTCAACTCTCATCCCCCCACCCCGTTCTATACCCTGATGCCTTTTAATTTCTCACCCTAAGCGCTATCTTTCACGGCCTGCCTTCCGCAGAGCAAAGGGCCATTTGAGCCTTGATGGCCTAAATCGTTATTTGGAGAGCGACGGCAGCGGCGTCATTGACGCCAAGCATAGGAAGGTCTTTCAGGACATGGATCGGCCTTTGGCTCACTACATCATTAGTTCATCCCACAAGTTAGTCTTTTTTTGGTCTTGCACAGCTACAACACGGTTGTTTTGCTTTTGCTTCCTTTCTTCTCGCCTTCCATGAATGTTGAAGAATGAGCCGTGGTCATTGCTGCTATGATTCAATTGTGGGGGCTTGCCACGTGTTAATGGTTGAACTTCCTTGCTCTTAATCAATCACAGCACTTATCTGACGGGCGGGCAGCTCAACTCAGCCAGTACCGTCGAAATCTACCGCCAGGTTTGGTTTTTCTTCGCGTGCCACGACAGTGTCCATGTGTTAGACCCTCCGCGTCATGACGACGGAACCTGGTTTGAATCTCGCTTGAGGCAGGTGCTGCTGGCCGGCTGTCGATGCCTCGAGATTGACATTTGGAACGGCGACGATGGCGAGCCCATCGTGACCCACGGCATGACTCTTTGTACTCAAATCCTGTTCAAAGACGTGTGTTGTGTACTCTACTCGCACGTCTCGGTCGTTGTTCATGCACGCGCGCGCTCTCTCTTTGTGTGTGTGTGTGTGTGTGTGTGTGTGTGTGTGTGTGTGTGTGTGTGAGTGAGTGAGTGAGTGAGTGAATGAGTGTGTGTGTCTTGCGTTTGCCTCTGCGTTCCTTCCCGTCCTTCTGTCCATCCGTGTGGCATCGCTTTTCACACGCAGCTTTTCTGATCCCCACCTGTCCTCATCTGGTCAGGTCATGCGCGCCATTGCCGAATACGCCTTTGTCAACAGCCCTTGGCCGGTGATCCTGAGTTTCGAAAACCATTGCAACAAAGAACAGGTCTGAAAACCACCGTCATTCTCAATGGTCATCCACAGCGGAGAAGGCGCAAAAGAGAGTGTCGATGAAGGACTATGGCCAACACCTGATCACATGCGCGCCCTGTACACTATTGTTCATTCGTGCGATTGGCTTTGTGAATTACCCGAATATTCTTAGATGCGCAAGATGGCTACGTACTGCAAGGAGGCGTTTGGCCAGCTCCTGCAAAGGTCGGTTGCGCTTGGGCAATGCGCACAAGCCTGTGTTTACAAGCTTGACGTGTCAAGGCGTTTTTCCATGCTCGTGGGCCGCTGAAAAACATGTTCGTCTGAATATATACTTGCTCCTCTTCTGGCTAGCGAATTCTTGCCCGGAGATGGCTATGATAAATTGCCGCGCGATTTGCCATCTCCTCGTCAGCTCATGTATCGCATCATCATCAAGAACAAGAAATGCAAGACTTCTGGTTCCGGTGGGTTGCTCTGCAGTGCATTCGCTTTGGCTAGTGCACGGATACACCGCGCGGTTGTCTTTATGCACAAGAGGGTGCTATGAGCGTCACGCCTTAACACGTGCATCCATTTGGGGCCTGCAGATGAGGACGCCGGTCATGGCGATCCAGACTCCAGCCAAGACTTCAGTGCCCAAGATGATTCGATTACCTCGGACAACCGCGATGGTGACTTGGGCATGCACCAGGAAATTGACGGCGAGATTGAGACGGAGAACGAAGAAGAGTTGCAGCGCCGCAAGGAGCGCACCAAGGAAATCGCCAAGGAGCTCTCTGATCTGGTCAATTACTGCACGCCGTACCCGTTCCAGGTCAGTTGGTGACAAGTATCTCCCTCAGCCCCATCCTTTGCTCCATCCACAGGAGAAGCGGACTGATAGGAATCCTCTGATAGAGCTTTGAGGTTGCACGCAAGAACAACTGCAGCTATCACATTAGCTCCTTCATGGAGAAGCGTGCCACGCGCTTAGTGACAGGCAAACCTCATGTACGTGACAGTGGACTTTTGAACCAAGAGTTGTGGATGCAGGCTCGTCTTTTCAAACTTGAAATTGTCATCACTTGTGCTGGATGTTGGTGTGTAGGACTTTGTTGATTATAATAAATTACAACTCTCCCGCATTTATCCCGCTGGCTCGCGCATCTCTTCCACCAATTTTAACCCTCAAGTACGTCTGCCTGAAGTGACACGCATGGCACGATGGCGGGGGTGGCCACGTGCTTGTATGCTCCAGCCTCGGTGTACTTACTTTCACCACCACCCAAGAATCTTGCGGCCATCGTTTCTATGCCCTTACATTGCTTGTCCAGCTCTTTTGGAATGTGGGTTGTCAACTAGTTGCACTCAACTGGCAAACCATGGATCGGCCCATGCAAATCAATTTGGGACGCTTCGTTGAGAATGGACGCTCTGGCTACTGCTTGAAGCCCCCGATTTTGTGTGACCCGTCCAAGTCGTTTGATCCTTTCGAAGTATCCGTCATCGAGGGCGTGGTGCCCGTTCAAATGACAATTCAGGTACAAACGGCAATGCACAGGAGCTTCTCGACTCAGGGCAGCGCGTCATGCCCAACGCTCAATCAAGTTATGCATCCCTATGCACAGGTGTTTTCCCTACAAGGCATCCCACGCCGCGATTGCCAGCCAATCGTCAACATTCAGCTCATTGGCTTGCCAGAAGACACCAAGGTTTGCACTGCTAAAGTAACTGTGCTGCTATTTAACGCTTTGCGTCCAGACCATGGATGTGGTTTTATCTGCCAGACTCACGTGCTTGCACCTCACACTGACGTGTGGGTTTGAACCTAACGCAGGCTCATGTTTTCAACACGCGACCCAGTCGCGGCCGTGGCCTCAATCCTCGGTGGAACTCGGACAACACCTTCATGTAGGTTCATCAACAGTCGATGTGGTAAAATAAAGGGAGCTAACAGGAATCGCAAACATTTCCCTCTCCCCATTGATCTCTGATGTGCTTGCCACAACGACGTTTGTTCCCACACGAACAGCTCAATCACGGTTCTCTCATGCTGTCTTGTGCCAGCGTGCCGCGCATCACACTTCCAGAAATGTCGTGTCTCCGCTTCGCAGTCATTGACAACAAGGATCAAACGCTCCTGGGCTGGGCCGTGTTGCCTGTCAACTCCATGCGCTCAGGGTTTCGCTACATCCCCCTGGAGGTAAGTTGAGTTATACTGTTGGCCTGTGTCATTGCTCGCCTCCTTTTGCATCTTACACCACGGTTCTGCAGGGCGCGCAGCATTGGGAGGCCTCAATTTTCTGTCGGTTCGACATTGACATCTTCACTACGGCCGAACACCAAGAGTTTATGTCGCGTCTTGCCAACCCGCTTGTAAGCCTTCCCCCCCTCCTTTTTTTTTTCCGGTGCAGATGCGCCGCTCTGCGCCTGGTGTTGAAATGAAGATTTCAGCACCACACACCAGCTGACCAATGTGTAACTCATACGCTTGGATCTTGTGTGGTAGTTGTATGACAAGCAGTCTATGCGCAACCTAGCTGAATTGGAGGCTTTGCTGGAGGAGGACGAAGGTCTGTGGCGCTTCCCCATGGCGTTCTGCTGCTTGTTTGAACGAAGCACGTTCTCACCCCAACCCGATCGTCGTTGCATCGACTTTCTGCACAGGTGGCGTTGGCGCGCCCATCAACGAAGAAGAAGCGCCCATGACGGCCGAGGACGTTGAGCGTCAATTGGATCGCCGGGAATCCATCCGCTCCATGCGTGGTGCGTATGTGGCGCCACAAACAGCTTTTAACAGACTGGTTGACCCATTGAATCTCATCGCTTATGATCGCTACCGATTTGATTGTTCGTGCAGAATCTGTGCGTAGTCCCAGCGAAGCCAACATCATGCTGGGCCAAAGCCTTGGCCTCGACGTCTCAGGTCTGTCTTGTTTGAGCGTTCACAAGCTCTACCAGTCAGATGAGCGCATGGCTCGCCCCTTCCAATCTCCCATCTGCACATGCCTTTAACCAAGCCTGCTTTGGCCAAGCTCATACTTGTCATCTTTCAGCGCAACGGTCTCGCATCCAGGGTGAAGTGGAGGCTTTTCAGCAGCGCTTGAATGATCACATGGCTACCCAACTACTCAGTTGGCAGCGCCACAAGCAGAGCGTTGTGCAAACCAAGCGGTTTTCTGCCATCCAGCGTAATCGTGACAAGGCCTTGAAAAAAGCCATGCTTGGCTTATCCAAGATTGAGAAGACTATCATGGCGTGCGTACACAACGAACCGCTTGATGGGATGGACCAGGGTCCCTGTGCGTGGGACTCACGGCAGGGGGTGCAATAAACTCTGTTGGTTTCTGCACTCTCATGGGTGATGCCTGCTCCCGTCTTACTTCCTGTAGAGACTTTGAGCGCCAGGTCAAGACGCAGTTCAAGGCATACGGACGCAAATTGAAGATGCGCGACGAGGTTTGCCTGCTGTGCTGATGATTGCGAGCATCATTTGTGTGCCCTGCCATGTTGTCGCTCATTTGTTGTTAATGGTGCGGCACGGGTCTAGGTCACGGTGGTGGAGGAGGTGAAGGAGAATGGTTTTGAGGCCCTGATTGACGTCGAAATGGCCATGTTGCGGGGCATGAAACTGGAATACCAGCACTACTTGAGCAACAAGGTGCATTCGGTCGCGCGCGATTTTGAAATGGAGCAGCTCAACGCTCTTCGGACCGAGGTCAAGCGGAAGCAAGAGGAAGAGGACGCGGGGTTGCGTCGCGTCATCGATACTCAATCAGCCTATCACGCTGCCAACATCAAACGAGAGCTGGTGCGTACCCGTCCTCCTTTTGGTTGCGCAGCATGATCCCGTTTACGGACTCGCCCTGTCAAAAGTCGGGGCAACTTCTTGATGCCCTGATGCGTCGTGCTGATCGGTGCAATGGTTGGTTGGTTTTTATTTTATTTCATTTTATTTTAATTTGTTTCATTTATTTTTTCGTGCGAGTCCACAGAAAAGCAAGGAGGCTGCGGAGGAGCTCGAGAAGAGGCTTGTCAATGTGGCCGTTGAGGCTCGTCGTCGCTTCAATCAGCGCATTGGGCGCGAGGAGGTGAGTTCATAGGCGCGCTACTCTTGACAACTTCATTCTCCCTCGAGCTCACTTGTCTTGGCACACTCCCAGCACGAGATGGACGACTTTATCAACAAGACCCTGCAGCTCCTGGATGAGCAACAGCAGGCTGAACTGGATCGAGCTGCTGGGCACTTTGAGACAGCCATCCGTGAGTGCAGCGCCAGCACGAACGAGGGCTACGATGCGCTAGACGCCAGCCTCCAATGGCACCAATCCAAACCGGCCGTCTATCTCGCTGCTGTTCGACAGCAGCGCTGGTCCAAAATTCGCCAGGAACTGCTTGACAAGTAAAATGTGCCAGTTTACGCCGCCCAGTCTCTTTCATCCTCGGGGTAAGTTAAAGAAGACTGGTATTAGAAGCGTGTCTGGTTGTGCAGGGGTGTGTGTGTGCAACAAGACGCACGCTGGTTGTGTTCCCAAGCCATCAAGCCCAAAATCGATCATCGCTTATTCGTTCAACTGCAAACAACACCAACTACTGTGATCGAAGAGAATGCCATGTCAGGCATGAGGCAGACGCTTTTGGTACGCGCGCACGTCAGTGGAATGAACGAGCCGCTTCAGTCCCGCCCCCGTTGCTGCCAAATGATCCATTCTAATTCACACATGAATGTGAATATTTTGCTTGCGAAATTGTGTTTTTTTGTGTGAGAAGCTGATGCCCAGAACTGTTGTTGTTGACTGTACCCTGTCATTCCCCCCTGCTATGGGGAAGAATCTGTACCCCTCCTCCTTGTCCTTCCGTGAAGACGTGTCGGCGCAATGCGGCCTGAGCCTCCCTCATTTTTCTCCTCAAACTCCCAGCAATAAGCTCGCTCAATTTTTGACGCCCACCCGCCCAACCCTAAACAGAGGAGCGAAGGGTTATTGAGCTTGTGAGTTTGCAGTTGTCAGTGCCGAAGTATCGGCAATGGGAGAGGAGTTTTTATAGTCGGAGGCGACACGGTTTCGGCGAATCGCAGCCTTGCATCTGGTTCCTCGAAACTGGCCGCCAATCCCACGACGGATTATGGCCAGTGAGGTCCCAGCCCCCTCGACTTTGTCGAGAGGAAGCCATACCCGCCGAGCGTCATTGCGGAAGTGATGAGACAATCTAGCTTATGAAGCTGTATCTCTCACTTGCTCATCAAACTTGAAGCAACAAGTCTTGTGTCTGTATTTGTGTGTGTGTCAGTGAGGGCAGAAGATCGAACAAACAAGAAAGTAAATTTTTACATCCATATCAATTTGCTCGTTGTTCTGATTTTTGATTTTTTTTGAAGATTTTATTTTGTTCAAAGGAGCGAGGGGGCATGGGAGGTCTTGATCGTGGCGGCTCCTCGCGGCGAGGCAGAGGCAGGACTATGCTGGCGTTCGTGGCGTTCGTGGCAGTGTTGTTGGGATCAGCGGTGCAGGCTGTCAGCCCATCTGGGAGCGGCACGAGTCAAGCCAACTCGATTATCACAGTCCAGACCCCTGCCTATGTGAGCCCCGAGTATCAACCCGAGCCCTGCATGACACGCGCACTGCCTGCTGTGCAGTACGAAACGCAGCCGATTTCTGACTTTGGTGGGGGCACGGTCCTCGGCTCCTCCGACATCGCCTACGCCGGGTCGATTCGGGATGACTTGTTCGTCGTGATCAACTATGACATTCTGCGAATTACCCGCAATTCGACCAAGCGGGTCCATGTTCTGGTAGGCGAAGACAAGCAGGACGTCGACTCGGTTGCAGCGCAAGTCTTTGAGTTGGACGAGGTCCACTACATTTTGCATGCCGCCTATTACATCAACGGCTCGTGTGTGCTGCGCATTTTGGAGAGCTTCGCCTTCCATGTACTTTATCAAACGACCGTCACGCTGGAGCGCACGATGGACATTTGGACGCTGCAAGCCGTGGACCAAGGCAATATCATGAGCATCCTTGCCAAGGATAACCGGGCGGTGGTGTTGCTACAGGCTGAGTTGACCAAGATAGTGGTGCATACGCATGACTACCACTTCATCAACACAGATGCCGCCCTCACCATGCGCCACCAGTCCCGTGAGTTGCAGGCGATGCTGGTGGTTGATGGCAAGGTGCATTATGCCGCCACCTCCCTGCCTGAGGCGAGAAGCGCTTGGGGCCTGCTGCTGGAAAAGCTACTCTTGGATCTTGAAGCGACCATGAACCTCGAATACGATCTGGTTGTGGATCAAGGAAACTTTGTGGAGGACGTGTTCCTCTTTTACGGCAAGACGCAAGCTCAAGTGGCCTTTGAGCTCCGCCCGAGTTCCAATCAAGGCACTCGCGTGAAAATCTACTCGGAACCGGGCGCCATCAGCGCAACGGGGATTGGTGAGCTGTTTGGCTTTTACATCCTGGTGGATGGCACGTTTCATCTCAAGGCTGGCAACTTGTCGAGCCCAATCGAGTTTCCGGTGATTGAGCGCCCGCCCGTCGTGATGAATGCTGTTTTTAGCAGCAACGCCGCCATCCACGTGGGTGAGAGTGCGGTTGCCTACTTTCAATCATCTCTGCTTGAACAGCGAGCTTTTCTTCATGTGCGTAGCCTTGTCGATGGCAATATCCTTTGGACCTTTGAGCACGACCCCATCTTGGCAGGGCCCTACTTTTCGGACAACTATGTCATAGCCTTCACTCATAGCACGGACAATACGGAACAAGACATGTTGGTGTTCCCCATCCGACCCGACTTTACGGCCGCTACGGACCTGGATGCTTCCTGGGGCTCGGCAATTGGCGGCGTGATGGACCCGACGACGGGCCAACTGGTGATTACCTGCACCAAAGAGGTGATTAAGCTCAATTCGTGGGGCTTGTACCCCATGGCCCTGCCAAAATACGGGGACTACCAAGCCTCAATCGTGGCCCTGAGTGATGCATCTGCTCTGACATTGTCGAGCAACGGCATTCAACACAGCTCATACAACACGGAGAAGGACAGTTTTGAGCGGAATTGGATCTGCACCAGCGATGCCTGTCGCCTGCCGAATCAGGGCGCCGCGCGCTTCGTGGGTGTGTGTACCGACCGCTTTGTGGTCGCCAGCGTACAACGCAGTCGTGACACCATCACCGCACACGTGGCCTCAGTCAACACAACAACTGGCGCCGTGCTGCAAACCATGGCCTTGCCGGCTCCGCTCAACGGGCGCAGCCTCAACGTGAGCCTAATGGATGCTGCCTTTGCGCTCGATCCCGATACTTGCATGACCTGTGTCGTGTTCAACATGGACAGCACCGTGGTATGCCTCGACGCCGAGCTCAATGCAACGCGCATTGTGCCGCGCAATGACGCGCCCACGGCGGTTGCGGACCTGAGGATCCCGCAGTTGGTGATACATCATGACATCTTACTGGTTGCAGTGGGGTTGAAGGCCTTTGGCATGACCATGGCGGGGACGGTCATCTGGACGTTTGCCCCCATCGTGCAGGCGGCGCGGCTGGTGCCGGACGCGACAGGCGAGGCTGCCAATGTGTATTACTTTGTGCTGCAAATGGGCGTTGCTCTGTTTCAAGTTGGGGCCTTGGATGTGACCTTGGGTCAGGTGCTGTGGACGGTCACCTCGGAACCACTGTACAAACCGGAATTTGAGCACATGTTGGCGTCCTCCGCAGACGTGGTCCTTATGGGTGCTCGCACTGTGGTTGAAGGCGAGCTGCATGTCATTATGGTGGACAGTTCGCGTGCCGACCTGCAAGTGCTGCAGCGACATCCCGCTGCCTGCGAAATGAGCACATTTGTCAAGTCATATGGCGTAGAGGTCTTTTACATGCTCAACTGCCCCGGTAACGCTTCCCAGCTGGTCACGCTCACGCCACTGACGCGTAGCTCCGACGCCTACCATTCTGGGCCCATCCCCGGTTATGTTCCGACAACGGTACGGTTTAAGCTGCACCATCTGTTTGTCTGTTTGTCTGTGCGTGTATGTGTATTCATGTCCCATGTAACCCATGATGGGATGTCCTCTAACACCGCCACTCGCGAAAAATGTAGAATGGCCTCTGCCCGTTGTGCCCATCGGGCTTTGTGTGCACACCAAACGCCACCAATGTGCAAAACTGCGAGGTCAAATGGGACTGTCCGGCAGGCTCTACAGCGCCACGTAGCCATCTGTGGGACCAATTGGAGGCGCACGGCGCCACCAATGCCTCGATGGGTGGAAACTTTCTCGGGTTGCAGGGGGACACTCGCAGCACGACCTTGCCCACGGTTGCCATCGTGATCAACTACTTTCTGTGCATTTTTATCATCTGGCTGTTGTACCTCTGGGTCATTCGACCGCGTGGGTGGCATCGCATCCTGCAATCCGCCTTTGAAGACTTTCTCTTCTTTGAGGACACGGATACTGATGAGCAGGGCTATCAGTTGTTGGTAATAGACCGGTTGACCGGATATGGCACTGTCTTTTTCATGGTCATGACAGTGTTTCTGGCTATTTATGTGCTGATGCTGGCCACAGTGGGCAACGAGGTGAAGCGAACTGACACGGAGCCCTTGCTTCTACTGAAGGATGGCATGCCCTCCTTCTCATTGACGATGGTGTTGACGGCTTATGCGGGGTATGGCTTTGATTGTGCCGGTGCCGAAGTCATTCTTCAGACCCTGTTGGATCGCGCCCTCACAACAGAGGCTATCACGCTCGTTGATGGGGCTTGTCAAGTTCGATATTCTTGTCAAAATTGCCTCTTGTCATCAGATAGCGTGCGCGAGCAGATGGGCTGCCTAGCGGTTGATTTCGTCTCGGACCAGGTTAATGATGGCTTTTTCATGTTCAGCTCCCTCAATTTGACGATCATTTCGGAAGGGGGTGGGCAAACAACCCGTATCAGCCGAAATCTGGCCTCTACTGCCCAAGCCCCACTGCACAATGTGACGCTGCAGCTGACCACGGCGCTCTACACTTATCAAGCATCCTCCTCCAACACCTATTCACTGATGCAGATGGCAGACATGTTTGCCGTCGACGCCTCGCGTGCGGCCGTGGTGCGACAGCAGGAGTGCGCGCTGCTGGCGCCGATCTCGCCAACGCATCACGACGGCACCGTGTTCTTTGCCTTTTCAGTGTCATCAGTCCTAGTTACCGAGTCATTGGAAGCGCGCTACTCGTGGCCAGCTTTGCTCTCGCTGCTCGTCTCGCTCGTGACCTCGGCCATGGGTGCCTTTGGCACCGCCATCTTGGTAATACGCGTGCTGGCCAAGCGCTATTCAGCACACCGCCGCCGCAGCAAAGAGCTGCTGCTCAATTCCGACCAAAACTATGCCACCATGGGTGAAGAACCCGGGGTCTGAAGAAAGTATTCATCGGCTAGCTCTGCCACCAGTGCTGCGGAGGCGAGATATTGTCAGATGCCTGCTTTCAGTGGATGCTACTATCATGGAAAGACACGATTTCAAGTGAGGTCGCTGCGCGATCGAAACTGTCAAAACCCCCTTTTTTTTTCTGGCCCGAGGCCTGCAGCAAACGTGACGAGTTCAATCGATACATCATCACAGCCCTCTGCATGACCGCATCAATGAAAATAAAGGAAAAAAAAGACCACCAATCACGTCCAAGATTTGAGGTGAATAAATTGTGCTACTGGTGATTGTAAAGGTCGGGAAGCAGGGAGACAAAGGGGTTTGGAAGAAATCATTTGCCGCTGCGCAGCAGACGGGGTTGCTTATCGCCCAAAACCCGATCAATGACAGCCTGTGGCATGCAGAAAATGGGGTTTACGGGCGCCAGACTCGGCTCACCCAGCAGAGAGAGACCTGCTAGACCAAAATGTGTGTGGAAGGGATCTACCATGTCACCAGGCCGATCGGCAATACCGCCTGCATGGATGACGGGGTTGTCCAAAAAAAAAAAAAAAAAAAAAAATGAAATAAGAAGAAAGAAGAACAACAACCAGGGCTTCGTGAGGCGCTCGCCAACCAGAAATGGGAAACGAGTCTGTTCTGATAAGGAGGCACCACGAACCCGTTTCATCGTCTTGGCAGGCTAAGATGAAGGCACGAAGCTGATCCTGATCAATCCAGTCAAGTTTATTGAGACAGCTCATGGCAGAAAGAACCCACCTGAAAGAAACAAGGAGCCCCGACAAGGCGATGAGCCAAGTGTGAGGCAACATGAGCTCATGTAACCGGTCCGCTTGGTCCCGTTTATGATGAGTTTGTTACAAAAGGGTGTCGATGGCACGACTAAGGCGAGGTAGGTGCAGACCAAGAATAGCAGACGTCAGGCAATTTTTCCGGGCGGCCATTGAATCCACCAGAGGGGAGCTGTCGTTCGGCGAGCCACCAGCCTAGGAGTTGATCGTCAACACGAGCTAATTCATCTGTCAAATCGCATCCGTAAAAGGTTAGAGTGAGCCATGCGCGCAACAATCGGCATCAGATTAAGGAAAGAGAAAAAAGTAGCTGAAAAAAAGGTAGGGGAGCACAAGCAGCTACGCTGAAGCCCTTGGCTCGAAGACACGATGATCGTTGTCTTTTTTTCATCGCCATGTCGGCGTTTGCAGCCTTGTCAGGTCACAAATCCAATCTGTATTGCAGTGCGTGTGCTCATGCGTGCGTGTGCGGAGGTGTCCACTAGCGCTTGGGAATCGTACCTGCTATGGCCAGTGCACCCACGCAGCAAAAGATTTGTCCTGCATGGCTTTCCGACGCTGGGCTGACGCCAAAACCACCATCAAAGTTCATACAGCGCAGGACGTAGTCGACGGCAGCCTCGAGGTTGAGCTGATCCATGGTCCCGAGTAGCTTAAGGGTGGCCAGGGCACAGAGGGAGAAACGAGTGTCAATCTCATCCCAGCGATCACCAGCAAAAGAGCCATCGGCCTTCTGGAGGGCAACGACAAAGCGAGTGGCCCCGGCTGCGTAGCGGTCCTCCATGGCGTCGTAGGTGCAAAGGATTTGGATGGCAGAGAGTGTGTACAGTAGGTGAGGGTCATTGTCGGGCGCGCATGAGAAGCCACCGCTCGTTTCATCGAAGCACTGCTCGACAAACGCAAGGATGGCGCGGCGGTCCAGCGCCTCGGGTTGGCCCAGCAAGTGCAAGGCAGTTGTGCA